GGCGGACAGAGGGAGAGATGGATAGACAGATGGAGGTACGTTCATACTCGCCTACATACTCAGGTACATACACACGTAGGTACGTACCTATGCATGTACGCATGTTTGCATGCATACACATATGCACGTTTGCAGGCATGCGTGTCTGCATGTTAGCATGATGGCGTTTCTCACTGACGGTCTGACTGTCTACCTGCCTGGGTGGCTGGCTGACTGACTCACTGACTCACAGATTGAATCGCTGACTGTCTGACTCACTGGCGGAGGCATAGTAGTGGTAGTAGTAGTAGTAGTAGTAGTAGTAGTAGTAGTAGGAGTAGGAGTAGGAGTAGGAGTAGGAGTAGCAGTAGCAGTAGCAGTAGCAGTAGGAGTAGTAGTAGTAGTAGTCGTCGTAGTAGTAGTAGTAGTGGTAGTAGTCGTCGTAGTAGTAGTAGTAGTAGTCGTAGTAGTAGTAGTAGTAGTAGTAGTAGTAGTAGTAGTAGTAGTAGTAGTCGTAGTAGTAGTAGTAGTAGTAGTAGTAGTAGTAGTAGTAGTAGTAGTAGTAGTCGTAGTAGTAGTGCTACTTCGCTTTAACGATGCTTACGAAGAACATAGTGCGGAATACGGGTAGGTATACAGGGTAGCTAGACAAACATCATCTGCCCGTCCAGGCTTCACCAAGACCTCCGACTACCCCGTAAACCTTGGAGGATCCGAAACAAGCTGCAGGTTCGAGTGGCCTGCTAATGACAGGGGCGAAGCGCAACTTTCCAGAAGCTCGTCGTCCAAGTTGCAGCGGCCGATGTCCTGGTCTGGATCTATAGGATATTTACTTCCTTCAGAATCTCCCTGTAGCGCTAGCTGTACGAGGGGTGTCTCATGGAACTCGGTTTGCTTGTAGAGGCTGGTGCATGTACAGTGGCTTTCTGCAAGTTGAAGCATGTCACAGGTTCTCGCCATAGGTTCAAAGCGTGCTATGAAAATGCCCGAGATGCTCTGCTTCTTCAGAACAAAACCCAGTGATGGGAGTAGGAACCTTCAAGAGCTGCGTGGATTCAGGGTAAGTTCCTGACTTTCCGTTTCACGAGCCTGGTGTTGTTCATCGCTGTTCAACCCGAGCTCCAGCAGGTTCGCATTCCATCAACATACAAGTTCGTCTTGGATCCTGCAGCTTTGCCGCCACGAGAGCTTCCGGACTTAGGACTGGGATTGTCTGGCTTCGGGTAGGGCGGCAAACGTGCCAGCATTGCAGCAGGGGGAATAATGCTCATGAAGCCACCGAGATCTGCATGAAGTCTGTCTTCTTCCCAAACCCTAGCATCATCAATCCAGGCTTTAGGCACATGTCGGATTATTCCTTTCGTCTTGTCACGGGCCCAAAAGTCCTGAAGTTATTCACGACCACTGAGCTTAATCTACAGTCGACAGCTTCTGTGGCCGTGGTTTGCGGAGCTGCAGTCGAAGGCACATCGTCATTCCCGTCTGTCGTGCTATCCTGCCAGGCTGCGGTGCGAAATTTAAGGCCGCACACATGCTACATGCTGACGGTTTAGGAAGTGCACTCACAAGTCGGTGCCGGATGAACTGATCTTCGGAAATAACTCGAAGCCCGCCAGTCAACTGATCCTCAGGTGCATCGAGTTTCTAACTCCGGGCCGAAATCCTGGCTCGGAGCTCCCACGGCCAAACATTTATCCGAGAGTATCGAAAAAGCGGCGTGCGGCTTTCGATGTGGAGTAGAGCTCTTCTTACTGTGGGCTGTCGGTGTGGCGGCGGCTACTCGATCCGAGCCTCCACCTCCGTATCTTCATCCGAGCAAAGGAGGCTAAGCCGCGTCGATCCAGTCCTGGGGTTTAGCCAAAAGCGCCCCCAAGCGCTGAAACCCCGAAAAGGAAAACTCCTAGGCCCACGTCCCAGAACCTCGTCTCCTGAACCTCTATCTCGCAAGATACGTGCATGAGGTTCGGTTCGGCACATCGCAGGACTCATGGTCTGACGACTTCGTCTCAACACGATTTATGAATTTATTTCGTGGTTATGTATAGAGTTCTTCATACTCAGAAACAGACAGGCCAGAACCGTGCGAAGCTGAAAGGCCAGGTGCAAACCAATTCGCTCATTCCGGCTGCGGGGAACATCGTCCAGCTTCGGATCTCTTGCTTCGAAGTCCTGCCGGCCAGACTCGCTAAAGCCGAAGCCATGAACTCTGCAGGACGCACCACATCTATCGCAGAATCAGCATGACCATGGAAACCACAAAAAAACAAGAAACCCAACTTGGCCATGCGCTCGTTGACGTTGTCATTCCCTCAGACTCCAGGAAGCTTCCACAATAGCCGCAACCGGCAATCCTTTTAAGTAGAAACCTGGACTCGCAGCATCTGCTGCTCCCCTATGAGGCCTCTGGCTCCGGCGATGTCCTCAGTCGCAAGCCGCCTACATCGGTCCTTCAGGGCTCACAGGATGCGCGTTAAAGCAAACCAGGCAGCCGCTGCGAACGCCAAAGTTAGAGTGCCACGAGGGTAATCAGGTCGTATACTCGATAACGTCGAACTGCATAGCTGCACTGATGCCTGAATCGCGAACCTTGAAGCTGGAGCCGTGTGAAGGCACTACAGAGATTGGCAGAGCTCGATGTTGGTACTCATTGCAGCTGTAGTTCCGCCGCTCTATACTGCACTTAGCAGCTGATCATATCGGACAGCGGCCCGCCTTGGCTCAGCGTGATCTCCTGCCAAGGAAGCAGCTGGGGAATTGGTCCGCTTTGAAGGGTCCGCCTTTGCTTAGCAACCCCGAGGCCGAGACCGATTCTCATTGAGCTCAGAGCTCCTCAGAGCTCCCAGAGTCAGATCTGATCTTGACATGTCATGTGAAGCTTTGGCGGCTTAGATCCCGTTGGCTCTGACACGTCAAGGCCTGGGCAAAACAAACAGAAATCATCGCGTATCGGACCGGGAAACATCTAAATCCGAATGCCTAAACCTACAACCTGGAAACTCTGCTGTTGGGGGTTAGGACCACTGGTGTGCTTTACGCTTCGGGCTTGCGTCTTGGTCCTGCGTCCGCTATGGAAGCGACCGCTGCCAACGTCATATCGGCTGATGCACGCTGCGTCCCAGTTCTGGACCCTAAACAGTTTTCTTTGCGACAGCCCAACAGTCCAAACCCCACCAACCGGAAACTTAGTCTATTACTGCCTCCTGCCCAAACGCGAATGCATTCTCGATCCCAGCAAGGTCACTGGAGTCATGGCGTGTTCCTATCTTGAAGAAAAAACGGCTTCAACTGGGCAGAGCAAGTGCAGCGCCAAGCACCATCATGATGCTCAAGGACCCAAAGTTACAAAGTTCAACATCTTGCACCCGAAGGAACAGCCTCCCTCAACCTAGGATGGGCAGACCAACTTAGATCGAAACAGACGATGACATGTCTTCGAGAGCTGAAATCAACTCGTACCTCGCTCCATCTTCTCGGGAAAAATGACAGACACGAGCTTGGGAATCACAGGAAGCGGGAACATTGAACCTCGCCGGTACTTGGCAACCGTGTAAGCCCAAACTCAAAACCTACCCTGTAACCCAAGCTCAACAAGCTTATACCCTGAAACCGCCGCATGCAGTGCACCCTGAGGCATCTTGGCCGCATCTTGGCCGCTAGAAGCTTTCAGCCGCAATGCAAACTGATAAGCTCCAGACGCTCATTGCCAAGACCCGTCTCCAACAGCTGCATGAGGGCCTGTTGTAGAGCTACTAGATCCTGCAACCACGCCACAGGACTTTGGGGCCTCAAAATGCCTAGCGTTCGAGAGTACAGTGTCTGAGCGATTGCCAGCGCCTCAACCAATCCAACACCCGGAAAGACTGCAGCCATGCAGATCCAGTCACGAAGAGTCCCTAGAGAGCTTCCCGGCTCATTCCTTTGCCGTCGCTTCCCTACTCTAGTTGTCCAGAGTTGTTCTGCTCTGATGAGAGGGAACTGACATGAAGTCGGGGGCTGAAGGTCCAGAGTAAAGTGTCGCCGCGCGTTGTGCCTGCACTCCGCGTATAACTAATCTACACTGCAACGCCGGCAGCACTCTTGCTTCCCCTCATATCAAAACCGTCAAATCCCTAAGCTCAAAAAAACTCCCCCGGCGTGATGCAAGGTACATCAAGATACCATTGAACCAGTTTCCGAAGTCTTGAAGGCGGTTTACCTGCCTTCAGGGGCTTTGATATGGAGGACAAGAGGGGCCAGGCTATGGCGACAGTTTTCAAACCTATCGGGTTGCTTCAAGAAATTCCCGAGCTCGGCCGGGCCGAGACTTACAGCCCTGAAGCGCAAAACCCAACGTGACTTGCAGGGAACTCCAGTAATCAAACCATTGGAGAAGCTCGGTCTCTGGCATCGAAGCAACCTTGCCTGTCGCAGCGAGACGGGGACTGAGCTCATGCTTCCGGTGCTGACGTGGACAACCCTCGGCCCAAACCTCTGACCTGCGAAACTGTTTAGGGGCTGCGGGGGATTAGAGGCTGGCCTTGCCCTGTGGTGGCCCTAGTGTCCCGCTCGTGTCAACGACATCTGGATGCATTTGCTAGGTAGCTGACATCGGGACTACACCCTCGTGCACTCAAAAACCCAAAAGAAACGCCAAACCTCAAGCCCAAGGCTTTACGCTGTTCCCGAACTTGCCTGTCTTAGGACCTCCGGCGAGAAAATCTTTCTGGACCATAAACCCCGTGATGTGCTGGTGCATGGGGCAATATGGAGCCTCAAAACCAGCCCTCAACTTCTCCGGCGGCTTCTCTTCTTTCGATGTGTGGTGCAGGTCAAACCCATACGGTGCTGGAAGCAGGAGTTAGGACCGTTAGGACCTGAGACTATACTTGACGACTGCAAGCCCGCTCCGTTTGAACAGTCGCTTGGTGGAGTCCTTCAATAGCTCTCGGGGAATATCCAGCGAACCCAGGTCTAGGTACAAAGCAATAAAAGGCCTTTCGAAGACCTGGGTGTTGTTGCCATGTTGGCGCAACCCTCCAGCATTACAGCACATGGCCAGCTCCGACTATCTCGGCCGTGGGCTTCTCGTACTGCGCGATGACCTCCTCCAAGTGATCTGGATGGACCTGAGCCACGCGCACGCGCACACACACAGGCATGCCTTCACAGCATTGCAAGTTGCGCTTCACCTGCAAAAAGGCATAGTTGGAAAGGCCAAGAGGGCTTCTGCATGTGCGGAGATTCGCTGTCCAAGTGCTCATGGCGTCAGCCCCAGTGTCCCAAGCATAGGCCAACCTCGACTACTTAAGCACCCGGCGATGATGTGCTGCCCTGCAATTTCTGCACCTCAGCATGCGTTCCGCGGCTTGCACTTCAAGGCCCGTGGTCTGGAGTAGCTTGGGGCTGGAGGAGAACGCTCGTGGCTGAGAACCTCTGGTAGGGTATTTATGCACGCGACTATAGAGCTACCGGACAGCATCACAGAACCAACACTTCCGAGATGAGCCAACACATCTCCCTGCAACGGTACATGCCGTCGCATTCGATCGAAGAGCCAGCAAGCAGTCCGACAACTAGTGTGAAGCTCTGCTGCCCGATGCACCGTCACTCAAGAGCTCGGGACAGTGAGAGGATGGGCTCCCGACAGCGGAACTGTTCCGCCTTGACGCAGGCCAGGTTCACCTCGGACACAAGAACTAGGCTCCCCGAATCCATTTTACCAATTGCGTCCAGACTCTACAACTCTATGCACGAAGCTCTGACCGAACCTGCATGAGGACCAATGTCCAGAGTTTCGGGCCATGTGTACACAGGTGCAGTGTCGGTAATAGGTATCGACTTCTCCATGCCTAGTACACTGAGTGCACTAAAACCGTTCTTGGTTTAGGTCTCGGTTCCCCAAGCAACCGAGCTGCAGCTTCATCCTGCCGTAGTACCGAATCAAGAGGCCCACATCACACTAGTTCGCTCAATTGCAGCCCGGTCGACGTTATGGGAGCGTTGACGGCAGGCTGCACTTCGAGCTTGTCGTTGCTAATGCAAAGACTTACGGGGGCGCATGGGGAAGGTTTGGGATTCTGCCGTTTACGAAAAGGCGGCCAAGGCCTAGGCTCGGCAGCTCCTGCTCCGCCTCCCTGCCTCGAAGGCCTACTTGTATCGCATGGTCACCCCACACAGGCCCCCCGAAAAAGGGCCGAAAGCCAAAAGGATGTAATGAGGGTTTCTATAGTCCTAGCAGGCTCAGTTTTGCCGGGAAGCCTCCTGCCATGTCTTGGGGTTGTTCGCCTTCTTCGCTGCCTCGACCGCCTGGCCGAAGGGCCGCTTGGGGATGCAGAAGCTTATGAAATGTAGGCATGGCTCGTTCCAGGTTTGAGGGCAGAATCTGCATTGAGAGGTCAGGGCTGCGGGGCCCAAGCCAGTGTCTAACGGTGTGGTATGGGTTTGGATTCTTTTCGTGCATGTCGCTGCGCGGAACTGTTTGCCACATGCTTGTGTTGGTTCTTTCTGTGCTCAGTCTTCCTGGCTTGGCGGTTGCTGGGATTCGTCTATACACGTCTAAACCTGGAAAACCCCACACCCATAGACTCTAGTTAATCCGAAGAGAGTTCAAGCCCAAACCGTAAACAGAACCATCCGGCAGGTAGGTTGCACCATGCTGATGCAAAGCAGCACCGTTCATGTGCGGGGTCAGGTTTAGGGTTGACAAGTACACTCGTGGTGCTTCTACTTCTTCCCAAGATTACGCGAATTAGGAATGCCATGCCCTAAGATGCCCTGAAAAAGGAAACAAGATTCCGTCGCGCATCCTTCAAAAGACTACCCTTCGCATCGAAAACTTAATGCTAAGCCCCCGGCGTGATCCCGTAAACCTGACTCGAAACTACAACCCTGCAATAACAAAGCTTGCACCACACAGGGCTTTCTGCCTAATCAGGTTCCCAATGACAGGGGTTTTACCGCACAAAGATGAGCAATGATTCCCCGCCCCCCACCCCTCACCGTTGGCTGGTGGGTCACGCCTGCGTGTACTCTCCGAGCTGCACGTGGCCTAGGGTTAAGCATTTCGGGGTCCAGCATGGCTTCTCACACAGAGGCGTAAGCCCCGGAACTTAAAGCTTGACATCGCAAGCCACAAAATCGTGCATCAAACTGGGATCGGGTATTCAGGCTTCAAGCGATCTCGGGCTGAAGGCCACAACGTCCCAAAGCAGCCCGGAAGCTCCCCGAGACCCATTCAGCGAACGGGCAGCCCTCTGCTCTCTTTTTAAACTCCCAAATTCCGCCATAAATGCTTTGGGCCGTGGCAGGAGGCTAGGCGTCCGTTGTTCGGAATCGAGGCGTACAGGATCTTGGCCGCCTGAACTCCCCACAGGTGGACGGGTTCAGGTCTGGGAATGGGCCCAAGCATGCAGGAGTTCTGAGTGCGGGGGCCTGTGGCGTTCCGGGTTACGCTGCGACTGCGACGACAAGACCGACAGCTAGAACGAGAGGGACGAGGACGAGAGAAACAGGGACTACGACGACGTGGACGAGGACCACGACAACCGTAAGAACTTCCTGGCATGAGCCTTCACGACATTCTTGAGCCCCTATGATTTGCAGTGAAGCCCAGAATCGAACCAGCCCCGGGAAGCGCGAACCGCCAAACCGACCTAGAAAAGCGAGCCAGCACAAACCGAAGCGCATTTCAAAAGCATTCAAAACCCACTCTTGCAAGTTCCGAACCGCACACGACATCGCCCTGAAAGAGACTCATGCCAGAAACCGCATTTAAAGCACGAATTACCGAATCGAAACGCAACAAACGAAACGCAACGTCGGCCGTGCGAACACGCACCCACACGAAACGCAATGTCGGCTGAATAGAAACGAACGAAGCAGCAGCACTGCTACTTGCGACTACATACTCCTCCTCCTCCTGCTGCTGCTACTGCTGCGACTGCTACGCCACTTCTACTAAACGGGATCCAGGCCTAAACCCTTTAAACGGTAGCATGAACCCTTCCCCAAAACCCTCCTCAAAAAGACCCTCTAATAAACTCTACTGAAAAGGGACCCTCCTCCTCCTCCCCCGCGCGTGGCTCTAGGCCTGGCGGCTCCCGACTTCAGAGGCCCCAAAATTGCTCCGAATTCTGTTCACTCCCCAAATGCGGGCCGGGCCGGGCCCGGGTGAGTCCAGGACTCCGGCCGAAGTAAGGCCGAAACCCCCCCGGACTCCTCCGCGTCGTGTCCCCCAGCGGTCCGAATACGAAACGAATCGAACCGAAAAATAAGGCCTGCCATGTTTTCAAGACTAGACCCCAAGTCACCCCTTCCAGGGCAGCCTTGTAAAACTTCTCGTCGTAGAGGCGATCGCCGACAGACTGGATGTTGGCCTTAGCAGCATTGTGGTGTCAACTTAAGCCCGAATCCCGACGAATCCCATTTAAATGACAAGGCCCGCACGACGATGCGTGATTTCCGCAGAAACCCTCAACAGCGAAAGGCCCCATAGCCATCGTAGTCCAAGCCCGACATGCAAGAACCATTCCAGGAGCACCACCGCGAGTTTACAGGTCGCAAGACTGACCCGAGATGAAGTTCCGGGACGATATACTCAGCAGACCCAGGGAAGACTACTCGAGGCTGCAAGCGAATCGAAGTGCGGAACGTGAGCCGCACCATGCTCTTGGCCACGGCACGAGTTCGGTTAGCTGGCTCTAGAAGACACAACTTGTTGTTGGGTGGGGGAGCAGCATTTTTAGCGAGATACGAGAAGGCAAGTCAGATTGCGAACACCTGGAGAAATCATGCAGGGGCCCTGTATGTGCATATTCCGTAGAGATCGGGCGCTCTGCCTTGCTCCGGACCTCAATTAGCGCACGAATTTAAACGAAGCCTGCGCCCAGTCTAGTGAGCATCTCACCGGCTTTCGGATTTGGGCGTGCGAGAGAAAACGTCTTTCCTTCCTAGTCCTAGGACCCGAAGACCCTCATGGAAACGACCACGAGCGTCGGGAGATGATCAAGCTTCGCGTCCCAGACCATGGACTTTGGCTCCAAGTTGCGAGATTGGCTTCAATGGGATCAGGCTGGGATCAGGGCAGAAGGCCGGATGTTCGCAACGGTTCGCGACTGTGCTTGCTCTCCGCACGTGCCACGGAAGATCTTTCACGACTGCTTCCAAATCTGGCTGAACCTCTCGATCTTGCGCACTCGTTCCTTTGAGAACGATCGCCTCACGTTCGTGCATGTCACGAGGCGCATTTTCCGGCAAGATAGACCGTCGATATTCTTACAAAATTGATGGCTGCGCTTGCAATTTTCTGCTTCTGCGAGCACAATGCCCCAGTGTTGCTCGGGATATAATTGTTGCGGTTCCTGCGAAGCAGCACGCCCATCGTGACTCTGAGTATTGCTTGACTGTCAATACTCGCATGCTTCCAACTACAACTCGTAAGCAACTTCAGGTTCGGCTCTTTCCTCCCATTCACTGAAGCAGATCTCCGGCAGGTGGGACGGACATACTTTAATCATCAGCGTCGGGATTCTGCTTGCGGCCAGGGGGCGGTGTTGGTGCCGCTGATGAACTCTTCCATCTCGCCCTAAGTCGCACTGGTTTTGAGGCTTAGTAAGGTAAACGTAAACCGGCAATTCCCTGACAGTTGCCGACACCAGAATCAGAGATTCCCTAGATTCCTAGATACCTGAGCAAAACCTAGGAACCACGTCGATGACTGGCAGGACCCTTTCAATGACCTTAACAACACAGTGCCCGGACCGCGGAACCCGAAATCTCGATCTCTTAGCAAACGGCCAACGCACTGTCAAGCCGATTTAGGGACTAAAAAGTTCTGGGCTGCAAGTTTCGGGCTTGAAAGCAGGGCCGTTGTTACGTCAACTGCTTGCATGGAGTCTAAACACAAGAACAGTCGATGGGCTTGCCAGCATTGGTTTCCATGCCCTGGTATTGCTTTTGATGGAGACTTCACGAGTAATAAACCAGGACAGCAGCCAATGCATGAGGAGGCCTCTACTCGAGTGTTACCAATCATCAGGAGGTCCAGGGACTCTGTTTACTTTAGCGAAGTAACAAGTAAGTATAGCGGTATAGCGGTTTCGGTTCCCCTGGCGTGATGTTTCACGGATTGGGTCTTCGGCTTCAGGATTCTTCTACTTCGGAGCTTGGGACACAACCTGCACCTGGGAGACACAGCTGTGCAGGTTCTGCTACAGACGCTCGCAGTTTCAGACTGTGTGATGCTACAAGCCTAGGAACCGAAACAACGCTTAGGGTGTTCTCGGATCCCACCCGCTGAACCAGCCAAAAAACCATAAGGAACTGAACATCTTCTAAGCTGGCGGCGATGAACGACCGACCTTTCCAAGGACTCTGAGTCACGGGCTAACCGCTCCGTCTTGGCATACGCGTAGACAAGCTCACCTCCATGGCCATCGCAGCTGGCGCTCCGTGTTGAAATTTCGCACGTCATAGGAGACACCATGCAATAACCTTTTCACCCCGAAACCCAACCCGTCTGTTTGCTTTGGATTTCAGAAAATCCAAGGCCACGTCCCAGCCCTCCCTCCGAGGCGAAGTTGAGTGTGCATGTTGCGGTTGATGCTCCCGGCTCTTTGTTGCTGCAAGCGCCGCTGTTGATGCTGCTGAATTTATGCTGTCCCCTGTGATGGGGCCAAGCCCCTGAGCCCCGAAACTCCAAACCCTAATATCTTGCACCGAGGCGCCGTCGATCTGCGAGTCCTTCACCTTGGTGCGGGCCATCATCAAGTAGCGGACCAACCTTCGTTGGGGGCTTGGGCGCTCCAAGTTCTATGCTCGTTGCTTGAGGAATTGGCGGAACACGTTTTTCGCTCGAGGGCTCAGGGCTTTGGAAACGGGTTGGCTTTGCTACACGTCCATGGCTTCAAGCTTACGACTTACGAAAGTCTTCCGGCTTCATTGGCTGGATTGCTCTCGGCCCTCGGCGTTGTGGTCGATTTCTCTGGTGTATTTAGGTGTTTGGGGTTCCCTTCACACTTGTTCGGACTGGGTGGTGCTGTAGGATCCTGGATAAAGGACATCTTGGGAATGCAGGCCGTTGGAAGGTGCTGTTTAAAGGGTTCAGCACGGGAACCGTGAAGTGACCGGTTCGCAATAACTTGTCGAAGATAGAACGCCTTTGGGAGACTTGACAAAGTGATTCGTCAGGAAGGGACTCTCCCGACAGCGCAATGTGACCTAAATCTTGAACCCCACATCGAATCCAAAGCTGTCGTTTTGGTCTTCGCATATGGAGATGTCACCCTCGCCAAGCCGGCTCAGGCTCTGAAGTAAACGGCAGCGCAATGCAGCAGTAATGATTACTCAACGCATGACAAAGTATGCCCGGCTGCACTACCGATGCAACTCGCCCCTCTCATTACCACTACAACCACTAGCACCACTGCCATCACCACGACGACGAAAGCACCGACGACTACTACAGCAGCGCACCACGACGACAAAACATGTTACCGCGAAAGCGATTGCTACCGCGGCAGCGACAACAACGCACCACCAAGTTCTTATTCGGGAGCTGAGGCCCAGAAACTCCGCAACCTGAAGAGTTGGCTCAGGCACTGGCTCCTCGTAGTTTTCCTCTCTCTCGGCAGCCTGCGACTGCAGAGCTCCCCGTTGGAGCTTTGGCTTGGTGGTAGTCTACAATAATACTATGCTAGTTGCTAGCAGGGTAGCAACAGTGGCTGCATTGGCAATGGTAGTCATACTAGCAGTCGTAGCAGTAGTTGCAGTAGTGGGGGCAGTAGTAGTAGTAGTAGTAGTAGTAGTAGTAGTAGTAGTAGTAGTAGTAGTAGTTGCAGTAGTAGTAGTAGTAGTAGTAGTAGTAGTAGTAGTTGTTGTGGTCGTAGTAGTCGTAGTAGTCGTAGTAGTCGTAGTAGTCGTAGTAGTCGTAGTAGTCGTAGTAGTACTTGTTGTTGTAGCAGCAGCAGCAGCAGGAGTAGTAGTAGTAGTAGTAGCAGGAGTAGTAGTCGTAGTAGTAGTAATAGTAGTAGTAGTAGCAGTACTAGTACTAGTACTAGTACTAATACTAGTAGTAGTAGTAGTTGTAGTAGTAGCATGAGTAGTAGTAGTGGTAGTAGTAGTAGTAGTAGTAGTAGTACTAGTAGTAGTAGTTGTAGTAGTAGTAGTACTAGTAGTAGCAGCAGTAGCAGCCGTTGTCGCGGCTACTACGACCACCACCAACACTGCTCCTACTCCTACTCCTACTCCCACTCCTACTCCTACTCCTACTACTACTACTACTATACTACTACTACTACTACTATACTACTACTACTACTACTACTACTACGACGGATTGCGGCATGCCAAATCAGCATCTGTGAGTACCGATGTACTCTCATCTGCACTAAATTCGAAAGTCATCCAGGCTTAGCCTCCGCTTTCAGGATCATTCCCGCCAGTTTAGTTTGGTATGTGGGCGTGGCTATGCCGGCTAAGCCAACAGGTAGTCAGTGTGAAAGCCATGCAGGCTAGATCGACCTGTACAGCCGAAGGTGCATAAGATATGGCCAGATTTCGGTGGACGATTTCAATCTACTCTCTGTGCACGTGATTCTGATTGAATAGAGTCCCTGGGACCGAAGAACCTAAATCCTGCAAATTATCTTGGACCAAACCTGGCTCAGTACCCTCCGTCCAACCTGTGCAGCGAGGCTACACACTGATCAAAAACAGCAAGTGGTTTGTCTTTTCGCACGCCTGTGGCGATACGGTTCCTCTGTGCATCAGAAGCAATTGCGGCATTGAACCGAGCACTCCTTCAATTGCAAAACCAGACCTGCCATTGCATTTAGAGCCCCAGCGAATGTAATCTCCAAGTATGCCTTACCCGTGCTCCGACCCTGCTTGAACTGCGCTTGCTCCCTCTACCCCTTTTTCTCTCGCTCTTTTGCATTCGGCGAGGTAGACGGAAGGGGAATGATTCCGACCCCGCACCTCTCTCTCTCTCTCTCTCTTCTTTCCCGAAGCATGAGGGGTGTTCGTGATGTGAGATCAGGATGTCGCTCCCTGATTTATTGGTCTCTATCTCTCTCTCGCTCTCTCCCTCTCTCTCTCTCTCTCTCTCTCTCTCTCTCGCTGTGTTTCTCTCTTTGTTTCTTGCTCTCTGCCCTACCTATGTAAACTCGGTTACGGGGTCGAAGTCGACCCCTGCGTTTTGCATATTTTAGGAATATGCTGAAAATTGTGTGTGTGTGTGTGTATGTGCGCGGTATCAATCCTATTATCTATAATGTAACTATATCAGCTCTGTCATCAACATTAACATCTATATAATTTCTGTAATACTTGTCACATTGTGCAATCATTAGGTTGATGTTAAGCTACATAACCAACATATAACTAGATCAGTTACGACTACATCATCTATCTTATTAATAGTTCTACCAATCTTAACAGGTGCGATGCTTCACTAATTAAGGCTATTAACAGATATGCACTTAATACAATAGCATTTGGTTCATATTTGGAGGTGATGCTATGTTCTATCAATGTTTGGTTTAGTTCTTTGGGAATCCAGAAGTCTACCCTTCCAGCATTCGATAATCAATAGTTTAACAATAACTGGCTTATTGCATGTTTAGTGTCTTTGGTTAACTTGTCTATAATCGGATAACCTGAGGTATGAGGCTATGAGTTGTCTTTGTCTATTAGGATAAATTAGTTTGGACACATCATATGTTTACAACTAGTATGCAACAGTGATGCAAGAGCTAACTTTACAGGTTAATACATTGGTTATATGATCATTACCAACTTGTTCGTTACGATCATGTAGTTGGTATTCTACATCCCTGGACAAGTAATGCATGTCTACTGATACTATTTCACAACTAATGTTAACTGTTATAGTATATCTTTCATATAGTCTGTTTACAATAGGTGGTTCAACCGGTATTATACTTGGTAATTAGTGCTGCTATTGATATAGATTTTCATGACTCTTATTAAGTTGTTGCACTTTTTCATTATGCCTTACCATTAAGTACAATCAATGCTACCCCATTAGGACTATTATATGTATTGTCTTGTGCTGTATTAAAATGACTTACTAACACTAGATGAACAGCTATAGGTAGTGGCATTGGCATGAATGGTCTAGGTTAGCTGTGTGTAGAGGTTAATACAAATCAAGTTGTCTAAGTTTTTCATGTGTGTTCTAGGCTTACATCATTACATCTCAGTGGTTCTAATGTTTAAGCCTAGTAGAGTACAAGACTAAAGAGATTACTTAATATAGTGGTTGGAATGATACTAGTTCAGTTGGTGAGAGGTTGCACGTTAGTTTCATTTTGTATCACTACAGTCCTTTCCAACCAAGATAGTTTAATAAGTATTGAGGAGGCGACCGGAAGCTTGTCATGAATCGCGACTGCTGTGCAGATATGAGTCACCGGAAAATAGAACTAGGTTATACTAGGCTTGAGTACGGAACACCGCGAATCACAAACTGTATACGGCATGAATGAGACCAGTGATGCATGAGCGATATATGTGATGCAGCACACGACTGACACGCATCGGCTTCTTTTGGAACGCGCAGCGATTCATTGAACTGTCTGTCACGTAGCCGATGTGTCTCAAAGCGTTGAAACAAGAAAACCAACACCAAAAAAACCAAAAAAAACAAAACCAAAAAAAACAAAAAAAAAACATTCTTTCATAACTCTCCCATTCGTGTATATTTCTAATGTTATTCTGGAAGAGCGCTGAAATAATGGTTTTTTTGATTTTTTGTGTTTTTTTGGTTTTGGCTTTTTTGGTTGTTTTGGTTTTGGTTTTTTTGGTTTTTTTGGTTTTGGTTTTTGGGATTGGATTTTATAGATTTGTTAAAGGAAAGGGGCTGGTGTTTCTCAGGGTTCGAATTACGACAACGCCCCTAAGCGCCAGAGTTCATCGTGATGTCGTGGAGGCGGCGGACCTGAACTGCGCAAAACGCAGGGGTCGAGTTCGGCCCCCGAACCGTAAACTTACATTTCGACTTAAGCATACTATACCTCTCGCTGTACATACTTGTATGTATCTACATCTATCTTACCTATCTATCTATTTACCGGTCTATCTATCTATCGATCTATTTGGCAATCTGTCTATACACACATACATACACACACACACATACATACATACCTACATACATACATACATACATTGCATTACATCACATTACATTAATGCATACATACATACATACATACATACATACATACATACATACATACATGGGTACATAGATACATACATATACATGTTTTTGTCATGTGTACATGCCTGCGCTTATGTGGAGATTGCAAGCAAGCGTGTGCAAAAAGTATGAAGACAAAAATACAACCTGTCTGTGTATATATATATATATATATATATACATACATACACCTAAAATACATATACATAAGATTATACACACAACCCTACATACACACACAAATGCCCATATTGGCGTGTGCCTCTCTAACTGTCTGCCTCTCCGATACCTAGCTGTCTGACAATGTACATGTACAACCTCAGGTCTATGCTTGAATGCTTGCGTTCATATTCCAGGCTTTATGTGTGGAGGCAGCCATGCACACGTTCTAGCACAGTACCACAAAACATATACACGCAGCCGTGATCATCCGTGCATCAAACATGCATGACGGCACGCACAAACACGGAGGACGCGGGCACAAGCCTTTGCAGAAATATACCTGCATGAATACATAGGTACATAGATACATACATGAGACATACATACATTACATCAGTTACATTATGTACATTCATGCATGCATGCATGCATGACGTAACATACCTACACAATCCTACATACATAGTCCATAGTCATGCAAGCAAAGCTGCATGAACAAGAAAACGTCCTAGTTAACGAACCTTCCTGCTTCATGCATCGCGAAACAGACCGTGCATCGCCTCCAATATACATGTACTGACATGGATAAGTCCGGATGGTTCTCTACCTGTTTTCCATGTGCTTTGTTCATTCCCACGATCCGTTAGTGCTCTTAGCATCTCTCAAAGACTCTTCATGTTCTAGGCCAGTAAGTGCTAAACCCTCACTCAAAGCAGAGCGTAACTCGTTCAATGAACCCGATGCGCGTTTGCAGGTTTATGTACTGGCGGATGACTGATTCTGTCATTCCTGCAATTCCTTGCCCAGGCACCTTGCAGGAGCGGGTTCAATCCCTCAGCTTCTAATCCTTCCGGGCCGGGAAATGCAGGAGTTCAGCACTGGTCTTAGCTAGGCCAGGGCCAGTAGTGCGGGCTTGCGGGCCTTCATGTTTCGGGGACCACGGCACGGTTTTGGGTTAGGGCTTAGGAATGAAAGGTTTACGGTCTGGTTACGTGTGTCTGCACTACAGCCACTGGCAACTTGTGATTTGTCAGGCGTTGCAGACTCATCGTGTCTCGACGAGTGCTGCACGAAGGCAACACGGCCGACAGGGCAGGAGGCGTTGAACACAAAAGCTGTATAGAGTTTCAGATTCATACCGCATTGAGGGTCTCTCTCGTTGGTGGCAGTTGGAGTTCATTTTTGCAAATACACTGTTTGCGCACACGAAAGACCTAAGTTATGATATTTTTCGGTCACTTCATGCGCTGCTGTATTCAACTCAAGCACAGGCACTCGTTCTCTTCACATTATTATAGAATATTATAGAAGAGCGTAGACCGTGGTGAATGGAACGGATGCGTGTGCGCTTCTATTACCCTGACGGCAAATTGACTGCTTCAGTGATTCAGTCTGTGGGTCGGTGTTCTTGCGTGCGTGCGTGCGTGCATGCGTGCATGTGTGCGCGGGTGCGTGGGTGCCTGGGTGCCTGGGTGCATGGGTGCCTGCGTGCCTGGGTGCCTGGGTGCCTGGGTACTGGGTACCTGGCTGCCTGGTGCCGGTGCCTGGGTGCCCGGTCTGCATGCTGCATGTTTGGGTGCCTGCTGCCTGGGTGCCTGGCCTGGGCTGGATGCTTGGACAGTGCCGGGTGCCTCCTGGGTGCCTGGGTGGTGGGTGCCTAGGTGCCTGGGTGCCTGGGTGCATGAGTGTGCGGGTGCATGAGTGTGGGGGTGCGTGCGTGCCTGGCTGTGAGGCTGAAGCTGTGGCTGAACCACCTGAATCGTCATCTCTAGCAACCGGTGTATACAGTCTATGTTTGCTGCAGGCATCACCACACGGACACCGAGTGATACAGTGACTGCCCGAGAAAGTCTTCCCAAACTTCCTTATCAGAGGCTACCTACGTAAATTGCTCCAATGCCCCGTGCCCAGAGCTCGACTGTGCAAAACTGGCCGAGCCACAGCACAATTCGTCGTACTGGTAGAGCAGTGGAGACATGGATGGAAATCATGCTACAGCGAGCATAGGCTCTTTGTTCAAATTGCCTAAAACCTACAATTAACAGGTTGCAGCATGTTCTGCGGAAAGTACTAGAGCTGAAAACGAGGGCCCAACACAATTGCACCCAGCACCAACCGTAAACCAGTTTGACATCCTTGCTGGCATGCCCATGCCCTCTCGAGGAGAAGACGATAATGATGGCGATAGCGAGGATGATAAACGAAGATGACAAATCATGCATAATGATAAACGAAGATGGTAGAAGAAATCGCGAACACGCGTGATCACCATCATCATGCTCATCAGGAAGACTTCACAGATACAAGCTGTAATTGAAACTAGATGACGAGTATGACGGTCGCTTGCAGTAGCCGTGTGACAGTGGTAGTAGTAGTAGTAGTAGTCGTCGTCGTCGTCGTCGTCGTCGTTGCCGTTGTCAAAGCAGTATTGCACGTCTTCTTCGTCGCACCCGTCGTGAACGTCCCTGTGTTGGTCGAAATGTCGTCAAAGTCAAGTACTGGGTAGAAGTAGAAGCAGCCGACAAAAGTAGTAGAATCAGTTACGAGGCCGATACTAGGCAGCAGCAAATGCAGCAAGAGTGTTATCTGTTATCACTTGTGTAAAAACCAGCAGCAGTGTGAGTTTACATGCCATCGCTGTGTTCTACAGCAGGGGTGGCAGCAGTCCATAGCACCAGCCGTAGCATCAGCCTCAAGGATATGGGACACACAGTTACAGCTTACAATGGCGATGACGAATATCGAGCATCAGCATTGGTGGCAACATCACTCTTCTGGTCTTTACTCTCAATGCTCTTGTTGCCGTTCTTCTCACGACGACCGACCGATGTCGTTACTTCATGCTGCCCTGGCTGTCTTCTAAAGTCACTTAAGTGTAGACTGCTTTGGGGCCCTACATTCGTCAAACTTCACCGTGACAGCGGCTCAGCTGAATCCTTCGAGACGCTCCGGCCCAACGAAAAGCCGACAACGCTCGGCATATTCCAGAGGGACGCGCTCGTAGCCTGAGCTTGCGGGGTAGGCTGCGGGGCTTAGCGTTTGCAGACACGACTCGATGTCATGCCGTCAGCCTCGGGGCTGATGTAGAAGCCGTGGTATGACATTCCGTTGCTCTGACTTAAAGCCCCAAAATCCCAAGGCCCACGACACGCTACGACAGGAGATCTGCCAATGGAAACTCCAAAGCTCCAAGCGCTGATTGCGAAGTGCTGGCGAGCTGCGGCTTCCCTGAACCATTCTGAAGTTCGAAGCCCTGACTCGAAGGGTGAGAGGGTGAGAGGGGCAAGCGCAGGGGCCGTCTGTGACTCCTTGGGGTATCTGCACAGGATTGCTTAAGGTGCTGCGAATTACTTTACTATCTAAAGCAGCCACATTGGGTTCACCTAGTACAGTCTTTGTCAAGTCAAATCTGTCCCATCCCCGCTCCCTCCCTCACTCCGGCCCCTGCAATTTGTGAAGCCGTTCGCGTGGAGGATCTAAGAGCTGTGTAGCATTAGCATGGGACTCGCAGGTTCTCCCCAAAGCTTTTTCGACTCGCTCTCCAACATACCTGTTTGTTGCTTCAGTGCTGCCCGGTCTAGGGCCTAGATGACCCCTTTGGCTACTCCAGTCAGATGATTGAAGCTCCTAGTTGGCACAAGTACGGCACCTTCGGTAGGGAAACGTGCCCAGAGCACGTTCCCAAGCGCCTTGAAGAGCCCGCGCCCCAAGCTGCCGAGACCCCGACCCCCCAATTTGAAGCGGTAAACCCGGTAAACTTTGCTTCTCAGACTTTCATGGAGCCTCAGATCCATGGAGGGCAGCATGCCTCCTCTGGGCCTTGGTCTTTCGGGTCGGAAGTCGTTTAGCTTGTGGCCTAAACCTGAGCGCAGGGAATTCTTCATCCGGACATTCTTCTTGCATGGGATGCGTTCCGCTCGCTTGCTAGCAGCTGGCATGACAATCTGCTGCAAGTCCGCACAGATTGGAACAAACAGGCCACGAGTGTCAGTATCGTCGTGACCGTAATAATCTTCAATCCTTTACTCAGTCTCGCCCTCACCAGCAACATCACGACCACAATTAAACAACAACAGCTTGGTGAGCATCATTGCCACGGTAACTGTTGAGATCATCCGTGCGATCGACATTATCATGTTTATTAGCACCATCCTCCCATCAGGCGGAACCATCATCTGTTCTTCGTCATCCCGGGTGGGGAGACTCTCGAAGTTTAGAGCTTTGTGCTCAAGCTCCGGCGTTTGGCTGTCTTTCATCCGAAGCCGACCTGCAGTTCTCACGCTTTGGCCTGAAAGTTGAATTCAGCCCTAGCCCTTTTGCAGTAAGACCAAGGACTTCCTTGCTAACTCCGATGGGTCTTAAGGATCGGTCGACTTTGCTGAGGACCTCGCTGGCCGGCAGCCAGAAATTTCCCCTTGTCGTCCACAAGCACGAAGCTGTGGTAGTCCTGGTGCGCCGTTTGGAGCACTTCATGTGATAATGATAGCGTAACTCTAGGCTGCAAACAGAAGCAGAACACTCGACTGCTACTGCCGCTAACTGCTCCTGCTGTAACTCCGACCACCAGCACCACCACAACCACCACGACGACTGCTGCTGCGACCACCACTTCGACGACGACTCGTGGTATCGCCAAGAGCCAGAACGAAACTGGTTAATGGTGAGGCTCGAAAACAGATTCCATAAGTCACAATCGCAGGGATGGTGCTTAGTCGGAATACTGGTCACGCACAAGGAAGCCATGGCGACAAGAAGCACAGCAGCCATTTCAACAAGCAGGCGGGAGGAGGAGCCGTAGCATCCACAGTGACTGCAGTAGCTGCAGCTTTGGGCTCTGCTGGGAAAGGTAAAAGTCTTGCACAAATCACGTAATTGTAAGCTGACACTGACGAAAGTCACAACCGCAGTCTTCAAAAACTAAAGTCCTGAAACGCAACTAACCGCCAAGACCTCCAATGAAGCCCTCACACCTCCTCATCGCTCAACGACTGCAAAGTTTCTGTCCGTGTATCATATGAAAGACTGCACTGTCATTGCTACTGGGAGTCTGCCTTCTCAGCAGTTTTGAAGGCCTTAGCCATGGACCCTGAAGCCCGCGACCATTGGCCATCGAATCGCAGAAGTCTTGTCTTGAGGTGAAAGTTTAGAGCGTTACGGTTAGCTGAATGCCTAATGCACCTGTCGCGGAGGAAGCAGCTTATGCCACAGGAGTTCCTAGTGTTTCGCTTGGTGTGTCGGCATGGAGGATCAATCATGGGCCCACGCCGACGGCCAATATAGGCAGACAACAACGACAACAACAACAACAACGACAACAACAACAACCACAAGCAACAGCAACAACAACAACAACCACAACAGCAACAGCAACGGCAACAGCAACAGCAACAACACCTCAACCACTTCAACCACCTCAACCAAGTCAACCGCGTCAAAAATGTCAACCACGTCAACCACCATATTCACGTCAACAACCACAACCACCTCAACCACGTCAGCCACCTCAACCACCTCAACCACATCAACCACATCAACCATATCAACCACATCAAACACATCAACCACATCAACCACATCAACAACATCAACAACATCAACCACAACCACCCCCACCGCCACAGCCCACCACCACCACCACCAGCACCACCACCAGCACCACCAGCACCATCAGCACCAGCACCACCAGCACCACCAGCACCACCACCACCACCACCACCACCACCACCGCAGCCACAGCCACAGCCACAACCGCATCATCGTCATCTTCGTCGTCATCGTCGTCGCCCGCAACATCTTTTTCTTCATAAGCAGCAGCTGCTGCAAAAGTTAATAGGAAGAAACAGGATAACAATAATCAGCCGGCGAGACTGGTGGGCACCAAACGAGCTTGAAGGCGATCCTGGCCAGAATGAAGATGGAGCCCCGGACGGCCAGACGCGTTACGCTGCAACTGCGAAGTGAAAAGGAAACACCAAGCTTCTCAATCATGCACCCTTTACTGCCCTGATTCTCAGCACGCCCACGAGAGTGAAGCCTTGGCCTTCCCTCTTGCCTCGAAAGAGTGCTTGTCTCACCCAGTCTTCCCACAAGAACGCCAATCCGAAGAGTTGGAGGTTGGTCTTGAAACTGCGCAAAAGCTCCAATGCAACCTCACCACCCCGCACCGTTGTTGACACCGAAACAAGAGACCGACGGCCGTCAAGAAGGTCAAGCAAAACAGGACCTCGATTTGAACTGGACGTGTGCCACATCTTGCGGCGAATCCTCGTTGCAGCCCAGCATACCTTGGCATGCTCTCTTAGACACCACTGCCACCTCACGTGTGACGCATTTGCGGTGCAGACTTTGGGGTCGTGGGTTTGGAGTTTCGAGCACGGCCAGATGAACGGCCTGAATGATGCAATGGGACAAGACAGTGTGGGGTTGGAGATGGCCCAGCACTCAACAGGAGTTCTGGATATGATGGGTTGGAGCTGTGGAGTGGGCTTCAATGAAGGTTTGATGGAGGCAGCTTGGAGGGCGTCAGGTTTTCGCCTCTACGACCGCGCTGCTGAGGGGGTCCTGATGTAGGATCGAAGGTCCAGGTTTCGTGGCAACGTGGCCTGACCCGACCCTATCGTCGTGACTACAAAGAACGGTAGGTACTGTCGGTATTTGTTATCTGTCCCACCCTACAGGCCCTCCGAAAGCATCATCGAAGCTTCAGTTGGAGCTCAGGTTCCCATCAGCAACACAAATGCAACAAACCTGCCCACAGATTCCGACTACCAGGGTGCAAGTGCTCCAGGAGCCGCCGGCGCCCAACTCGGGCAGCGATGCGACTCGGATTAGTGGCCCGAGACGATTCCTGAGATCTGCTGTCCCTCATGAGGCATGAGGCTTCAGGTTTGTTGCGCGGCCGCTTCGCACGGAGCGCGTAGGTCTTGGGACGCTAGCACAAGTTGTTCGCACTGGTGGGCTTGTGGGTCGGGCTGTGAGGCTTCTGGCATGTTGGCTGGCCAGGGAGTTCGAAAGATTGAACTAGCCGCTGCCAGGGCTTTTGGTTGGGGAGCCTTTGTATGTGTGTATGTATGTGATGTGTGTATATATATATATATATATATATATATATATATACGTATATATACATAGGGAGGGATAGAGATAGGGAGAGAGCCAGTGAGAGAGCGAGCGAGCGAGCCAGAGTGAGCCGGGCGAGGTGAGCCAGAGGGCTGCACCGCGCTAGAGTCCAATCACTAGAGTTCATGCAGTGACAATTAAAACGGGGATGGTGGTGATGATTTTTCGTGCTCAAGGTGATCGTGATAGCGATGCCGCTGGCGCTGGTGGTGGTGTGCCAGCGCAAATCATGACGGTGACGACCACAGTGATGATGGTGAAGATGGTGATGATGATGATGATGATGATGATGATGATGGTGATGATGGCGGTGATGTTGTGCTGATTCGCGAAGATGGTGATGATGATGATGATAATGATGATGATGATGGTGGTGACGGATTCTAACTAAGTTCGACGATGCTGCCATGACCATGTCCACACGAAGAGGAAGACAAGGAGAATAACGTGGTAACCATGCATACGAGACATTGATGCTGCGGTCAAGGCCAGGCGTCCCCAAGGAAAGATTCTTCACGCCGCCGGTCTCAGATTGATCCGAATGCTTTCAGGACTAAATTCAGTGGTTGGGCATTGCGCCGTTTAGTCTTCCGGACATACTGGGGGTCAGGAACATACCAGAACAGGTTAGAACGATGCGGTTAAATATGGTAACGAAACATAACAACAGGAGCCTGAACTCACACGGATTCTTGCAATGAATGGCCTCTGATCGTTCAGTGACTGATTACGATGATGCGCCGGGTGTTGATGATCTCACTACTGGTGTAAGGGGAACAACTGCTGCGGCTGCTGAAAACGAAGATATGTCACAAAGCTTGGACAACGAAACCTGGGCCTGCTGACTCCAAGTGCCAATCCCAAAATGCAGTCTCCACACCAGTATAGTACGGCCTCACCCTACGCAACATGCTCTAACCATCTCTCACTTACGGACGCATAGCCCCAAGATTGGAAGTGATTCGAAAAATGGAATGGCTTGGCTCCGCGCATGCTCATTGTCAATGACGTTTTCTGGCCAAGGCGAGGTTTGGGGTAAACAAGAGAGGCATCGGAGCTGTCAGCGATTGGCTTCAGGAAACAGATTCAGTTCGAACTGTCGGACGTTCACTGTTGAGTTGCAGTGCTACTGGTTCACGATGTTGTTTCCTACCTGTTTTCTTCGTTGCTGTCCTTCCACCAACACCACGAAGACAATTACCCGTACAACGACTACGACTACGAATACGGCTACGGCCGCCGCCGCCGCCGCCGCCACTGCTGCTGCTACTTGTCGTTACCACTACCACCACCACTAGTACCACTGCTACGACTGCTCCTCCTACTACTCCTCCTCCTACTACTACTCCTACTCCTACTCCTACTCCGACTCCGACTCCGACTCCGACACCGACTACTACAAATACTACTACTACTACTGCTGCTCCTGCTGCTACTGCTACTGCTACTGCTGCTGCTGCTGCTGCTGCTGCTCCTACCACTGCTGCTGCCACGGCCACGGCCACGGCCACGGCCACTGCTTACTGCTGCTGCTGGTACTACTCCTCCTGCTGCTGTTTCTGCTGCTGCTGCCGAAGCAACAGGAGGAGGACGATGAAGACTTCTTTGCCGACTATGCTGCCTATACTAGTACGAGTTTGGCTGTTGTTGCTGCCTGAGCGACAATACATGTTTCCACCAAGCTGACTAAGACTAAGAGACAAAGATGGCGATGCTATCGTTGTGTATTTTAGGCTTCGGACCATCACCATGGAGACGAACCTGGGAATGCTACGCCGTTTATCCGAATCATCTTACTTACAGCTTCAGGAATGGACTACCTCCGTCCGTTCGCTGGTCATTGCATGTGTCCTGCATTTGGGGAAGCTGGAACTCGAACATGGAGCTCATGGTTTGCAGGGACTGCTCTGACGAGAATTGCAGCCATGTCACTAGCCATTGCTGTGAGGTCGCAGTGGTTGTCATCATTGAACGCATGCCTCAGATTCAATTATACCCATCGATGTGGACAAGTTTGGGCAATGGGTCCAAGGCAGCAGATTCTGAATCCGAACTGCTTGACAGAAAAGTGTATCGGGCTCAGGGCCTAGGGTAGGGGCACGGCCGACAGCACATGGAGCTACGTGTCTGTCCAAAGCCACATGAATAACAATGAAACTTGCAGCCCGGAGCCCGTGACACCGAATACTGGTAAAGCTTTCGTGGTCTGCAGAAAGTCTAAAAATCTGCCTGATGTCTTCGCGCTTAAACTCGGCTCGGTGATCCTAAGCATTTCCGCCTAAAGACAGGAAGTCTGTTTTGAGGATTTCTGGGTCCACACACATCACCCCCGACAACCAAAAACTCCAAACTGGCCTATATCTGGTTCAAAGACCCTGCCGGTCAGCTGCGCGGTGGTTATTTGGCCACGCCGAGCTGGAAGGTCCTTCGGTGGGCGTTGTCGGGCCTAGAGTCTAGAGCTGTTAGATGCAGGGGGATCGGGGCGCAAAGGTTCAGGGCTTATGGTCAAACAACAGCTTTGGCAAATGATGCAGGCAGATGCGAGCAGTCTAACCATCCCAGCGAGAGGTACTTAGGGAGCTACGCCATCTGATGCTCTTGAAGCCGACTTCCCGAATTCAGGCTGGGATACGGACCGAAGGGCATCGCATCGCACATGCGCAGATTTTCACAGATGGCGGTCTTCGGATCCCTCACGCAAGACGCGAGCCGATCTTTGCAAGTCTAAACTGCCTTACCGGCAGCCTCAACCCTTGGTGGAACCCTGCCGAACCACCCCTTAGATTACAGGGCGTGGATTCAACCGCTGGGGGTTTAAATAGGTCGCAAGGGCCATGAGCAATATCCGCGCAGCTGTGATGCATCAGGTCCTGAGAACGATTTTCAGGGGGACAAGTACTAAGGGCCATTTGCTGCCCGGGCCGGCAACATCACTCACGATTAATGATTAGCCCGGCAAGTCGCCCAAGGATGAACACCTTTGCGGGTGCTTTGGCAGAATCGTGTGGGATTTGGAGGTTGGAACCTAAATCTTTTGCTGTGTAAGCCGGCAGGGGCCGCATCATGAGCATCATCAGCCTCCACTCCGTCGTTGCTTCGGCTTCCGAGGCCCGCCCAGACCGGATAAATAGTGATGCTGGATATCACGCTCCTGTCGCTCCTGTCCCAAACCGCCGCCTAAACGACGCTGGGAATTCCGTGAGCGAAACCCCGGTACAGTTTTCTATGGCGCCGAGCCCACCAGTTGTATGCAGAGCTTCATATTCACCCGTAGCTTGATTTCGGGGCTCCGCAATATAATAGGACAGCGCAGCATGTAAACGTCATCAAACCCCGCTGAGAGCTTCACAAGACAAAGTCACATTCCGATCGAAGTGCCGGTACTGGCCTTGCTTAGAAAACTGAGAGTACTCAGAGCTTGGAGCGAACATCACAACTGCCTGAATCCTTCTCAAGATGTCACTGAAGGTAGCGGTCCTTCATACCTCCGGCCCACAACAGCCGACGACGAACATCCTTCAAAAAGCTCCGGGTGAGATTCGACGCTTCGGCTTGGGAGCTGGTCTTGCTGTGCAGTCTTTCGGGAGCCGACGGGTTCGAGGCTTTCGGAGTTCGAGATGCAGTTTGAAAGCTCGATGCCAGGCAGCCCCAACACAAAGAGATGAGTCTATGCAAGCATGCTTCGACTACAGAAAACTCCGTGATATCCGTGATGACGCAGGTGCTGGACACTCAATGCACCTTCCCCCTTCAGTGTACGTATGCACTACATTACACTGCAACATACAGCTTGAAGGCTGCTCGTGGCGGGGAACTGCACGAATCTGAAAAAACCGAGCAGGAATCCGCGGCACTGACATTTTTATATAGGCCCTATCATGTCGGCACTCACTATCTAGGGTTTCCGTAGAGGCGCTTATTGCTTTGTGATGTCCGAACCTAGATCGGATTGTATTTCGGAGAATTGGGACAGCCTACCAGAGACCTTTGACGGTAGGATCCAGAAGGCCGGAACCCGGAAAAAGAGTAGGCTCCTTGGAGTACGCTTGATTAGAAAGAAAAGCAATCGAAGAAAAGGGCGGTGGTTCATGTCTTTCGGATGCTCATGTAGCTTTCGAAGACGGGCATGGATGCTCCTGGTTTCGGATGCAAAAGGTAGCACGGACGGCATCATCGTCCGGGCACGATTTGGGTTGTGGATGCACTGGTAGCATGGACGCTACCATCCTTCGAGGATGGATCTTGGACGTGGCTTAAGCATTTTGATCGAGCGGGAATGGATGCTCTCGGTTCTGGATGCATTGGTAGCACATGCATGGGCGTTAATTAGCATCGGTTTCCCCTGAGCAGTTTCCGATGCACACCGACTTGGAGTGCAGTTTCCAATGAACAACGGTTGCTGATGAGCAGCTTGCGCAGCTTCCGACGAGAGCCAGTTGCCGATGCGCTGTTACCGGTAGTTTCAGATATGCGACGATTCAGGATGCACAATTTCTGACGTGTCAATGGCTTCCGGCGCGCAATTTCTGATTCAAGGGCTCGTTCCTGAATTTTCAGTTGTCCATCCCAAAGCCCCGTGAGATTCTAGTACTCTAGTACTGACTGACAGCCCGCGCCTGTTGCTCTACATCCGTCATTTGACACTAAGGCACTCAGGCACGACGTGGGCATTCTGCGCTCGGGCTCGAAACACACCGACTCAAAATCCCACCAACCCGCCCAAACTGGCCGGGCGGAAGCCTCCCAATCTGCAGAAAGATCTTCATGTGCCAACGAGAGAAGCCGGAGGTGACCTGTCTGGAATTGCTTTGGGCTCATCATGTCGGCATACGTCTGGTGCCTGAGGACCTGTTGCTCGGTGTGAGGGTAGGGTGACACTTGATGGTGTTTCCCTGCCGAAAGTCTACGCACCAAGACGCAAAACTTGATCCCTCAACTATCGACCATGCCCCGTTCACTCTAGGGCTTAAGAAATTCAGGCTATGGGATGATGGCTGAGGTTCTCCGTGTTGTAGTAAACTCAAACTCTTCCAAACCCCGTTCAATGACGCACCCAGACGGATGTGCAACACATGAGTGTACCTCTTCGGGAGATTGAGCATGATGCAGAGACCGGTGAACACTGAACCTGCCAATCCTTGGAATCCTGATAGACAAACCTTACGACCGCCACTGAAGGCGGGTGACAACTTCGAAGCCGCTGCAGCGACGTGCCCGGAAAGGCAGGGTCTACCTCGAAAGCCAATCTTCTTAGGGTATGTGCTTTTCAGGTTGTTCCAAGGTTGTTCCAAGGCTTTCCGCAGGACATTCTGCTCAGAGTGGCGGAGCCTGGCTAAGGTGGAAGGCTCAAGTATGGGCCTTTCGGATACTGTTCCCTGGACGCAAGTCGTGTCAAAAGTCAGGAGCTGTGGTCTGCACCATCGGAGCCCTGGGTTATGTACCAAGGTGGTCAAACTCGAGCTTCTCCAAGGTAACATCTTTGAAGGAACCTTTTGGAACTGCTGTGGCCCGGCCTCGCACCCAGCGACAAGATGTCGAGGCGATGTGCGCAAGCTGCGAAGGACGGCATGCATTGCGTCGAGCTTGGCTGTAAACCTTATGTCAGGGATGAATAATGTAATATAACACATCTCTTAGATGGCTTGAAGATGCCTGACCCTGAGTGGACTTGGTCCAGGATGCCATTGCTTGAGCTCTGCGGCACAGCAGTGAGGAAGGCAGCTTGCAGAGCTAGCAGCATGGCACTGCCTACCACTGAGAGCCAACATCGGGACGGTGCTTCCCTCCACAAGGGGACAGCGTAGGGCTGCGTAGTGCAAGCTACGTGAAGTTTGGGCTCGGGCTGCGAGGCGACGGTCCGGCTACAAACTTCGGGATGTTCAGTCTACGTCGCAGAGCTTCTCCCCGTTCCCATGCGCTTTCCGCGAAAATCACCGGATCGCGAATGAAGCACCACCTGTTACTGCCGACTCCTCCTCCTCCGTTTGCGACTGGTGCCTCTAGCTCCATTCTGCCGCTCAAGCCCGACCAAACGAGCATCCTCAAGTGCCACAAACACCACATCCCGAATCTCGAACACTGCTCCGAAGCCCCACCCGGGCCTGGATCACCTCCAAGTAATCCGTAGCATCCTCGGCCTTGAGGTAAGAATCCACTGCCTCGGGCACCTCAGCAGCTCTCACAGCACAACTCAAGAGCATAGCTCCAGGTCGGGGCAGCTATAATGCTTGGGGCTTCGGCATGATCAGGAGGAACGAAGCCCCCCACACTTTTCCTGTGTCCTTCGACCTTAACCTTGAGAGAATGCCGGGAATCGCGGACCAGGGTCTCGGTTTGCATCGATCCTGGTTTGGCATCAGCATTTGTGGGTGATCAGCGCTTTGATCATCGTGAACTGCCGGCCCTTGACATGGGCAACTTGGAAAAGATCCTGCGCAGCTCGTAGTAACTTTTCGGCAGAGCTGACCTGTGCTCTACAAGCTTCGCAAGCTCCACAAGACAGGCGTGCGAGCTTTGACCTCGATGCTCGGCTTGTTGAGGCTGCAAAGTGTAAGCTGTAAGGACTGGGGAAAGGCGGAGCGAGTGAAATCCTCAGGCAATTGCACATTCATCAGAATTCTGCAGCAGTGATTTTGTTCGGGTCTGTGTCTTCGCCTTGCCTAGCTGCTTGTGTGCAAAGGCACGGTTGCCACGTATGCGACCACAAAGCCAGCCAGAAGTTGAGAGCCACACGCTGCCGTTCTCCAGCTGGGCCTTGCCGAGCTTGTACCACACCTCACAGTCTCAGCAAACCCTAGCCTACACCCCAAAGGCGACCTTTTCCGTCCCAGACCCCAAATGATTGAAGCCTTGATTCAATTCGATTCAGAGCCTCAGGCGAGGCTCTTACGGTTCAGCACAGGCGGAATCAAACAACGTCCGAGCTTGCGCTGCCTACATATTTTGGGAGACGAAGTGCACTGCTTCAAGCCAGGTCTGAGGTGCATGGGTCAAATCACAATCAGCTGTAGGAAATGGTTTAGAATTCATGTATTTCTAAGCTGCCCTAAATACATTCCTGACCCGTCAATCAGAAATAGCAGGTCATGATTGCAGCTTTTTGATGGGTTTGGGCTCGATGTTTGGATGGTTCAGCAGGCTATATTTCCCGAAAGCCGAAAACCTGTACACACACCACAAAACCTTGATGGGGATGCGGAGCAGGAAGAACACTGTTCAAGCGCTAAACAAACAGCACACCCTCGCAAGCTCGAGGACACGCTGGATACCAAACGGAAGTGCAGCTCAAAAGCACAAACACAAACACAAGCCCACAAAAGAAGTAGTTGGTGGCAAATCGAAAAAGTCGAAGGCCTACATCGTAGGCCCGAAGGTCTTCCCTGCATCTCACATCACACTCCCTCTACCAGGGCCAATTTGCCGCGCGGAGAATTGTAGTGCCCCAGCACCCGCCATGGGTGCGTCTGCCGGCTACGCTCACGCTTTGCATGATCGCATGTGTGCCATGCACCAGCTGGGTATTCAGGTTTGGCCCTCACCCGATGTGATGGTGCTCATGGGCATACAGGACACGCTGTGCAAGGTGGCCATGTTGAACAAAGTGTTTGGAGGACACACTTGCATACTGCATGATAGAGGCGATTGTGGCTGGCTTCCACCTTCGCTGGCTTTCCAGACGTGCACCATGAGACAGAACAGAGGCTCGTCAGGCGAGGCCCTCGATGATCCAGAGCTGCACTTCACGTGGCGTGATTGCGTTCGGGGGCACGCAGGACACAGAGAAGGGTTATGCGCAGACGACGAGGTGTTGGATCCGATGACCCTGACTCCGGTATCCTGACTGAGCAGTTCCTGAGCATGTGAGTGATGCAAGCGCGATGTGTCTTTGAGTGTGGAGCTCCTGCGGCCTGCATGCTGCTTTTGAGTGAGCACTGTTGTTGATTTTATCGCAGTTGCTTTGATGTCCCCGATATCACCTCGATGAAGGTGTTCTGACATCCTGGGAATGTTAACTGTGCAGGGATGGTCTCATCCCATGACGAAGATGCTGCACTTCCTTAACTCCAAAAGTTGGATTGTAATTGTAGCTTGTCTGGTGCTTTGATAACCGACGACGGAATATAAAGCATCCCTTCTCTTCCGGACATTCTTATGCAGTGGCCTTGTGCCTTCATATTTGAGTTTGTTGTGGGGGTGGGACAGCTTTTTCGACTGCTGGTTGTCTGGTGAGCTCATATTATGTCTATAGATTTCTTATGCCCCAATGGGCTACGCCCCAGAAGAGAAAGCCAGAACTCCCTCTACCCGAAGCACAGATCCGAGCGAAGGATTCATAACTGCAAGCCAGTGAAATCTGGCCGATACCTGGAAATTGAAGCCGTGCATCCAATCCCGTCAAGAAGCCTGGCAACCGGAAGCTCCAACTTCAACCAAGCCCTCTCCCTCTCCCGGCCGTCTTGTCGTTGATGCGTGCTGCGAACTCCTGCGCACGCTCCAGCGAGCTGATGTTCTCCAGGAGGACACTGGGCACGCAATGAGGCTTCAGCGGCTGCTTCCGAAGGCTGTCGTAAAGTATCTGTTCGGGCGAGTTTTCATGGAGGGGTTCTCAGGTCTGTGGCTTGATAGGCCGTCGCACTCGAATTTGGTGCAGGCTTGCTCCGTCACGTTCGGATGCTGCTTTGGTAGTACTTGGAAAGGTTTGCTGGAACTTTCGGGTAAAGGCATGTCCTGTGCTGTGAAATCTTCTAAGGCTTTGGCGGCGTGTCCTCGATTGCGGGGGTTGAAGTATCATGCTTGGATTCGGGGTCAAGGTCCAGGGCTGAAGGATGTCGAAGGTTAAGGGTTCTTTGCGGCTTCTAGTCTAGTGATGTCTAGTGCCTCGTCAAAGAGATTTTTCAGGCCGGGGTAACCCAACGTGCGTCTTTGAACTTCTAAACTCTCGCCGGAAAAGTACAAGCCAAGGAGCCTGCACGGATGAAGCTCTGCAGCTTAAGCTATGGTTTAGTAGAAGAGGGTCAGGAAGCCAGAGTCTCCGAACAAGACTTGTCAACCCTGATATCAACCTATCCCACCTTAGTGTCACGTGGAACCTGCTGTTTCAGATACTGCCTGAAAGAGATAACCGACTTTTTGGCGTCTGCCCTTGCTGCATTGGGTACACAATCAAGAATCACTCTTGCATCATGGGTTCGGTCTGTAAGGCTCTGCCTTTGGGATCAAGGGCGGCGCAGGGAAGCAGGTTTGCTCAGCATGGGAAGTTGCGGCTTTGTGGCTTTAGCTGTTGATTCAACCGAACGGTCAGCAGACCGGAAACTGTGTAGACCGCAGCTCTTAAAGCTTGAAGTGTAGATTCCGCGGGCATCCCGCAGCCAGCAAGGGCATTACAAGGTCCAGCAGGTCAAATGCCTCGAAGCAAAACCGTCAACTGCCGACACAAGAAATAGACGAGTTCATGGTTAAGACAAAACATGAGGGTTCGGGCCTCCAGATTTACTCTGCAGAGGTTAGGCCCCCAAGAGAAGACCCGAGTGGAGGACTCCATTGCTTCAGCATTCTGGCCGCACTTCTTGTAGATGATGAAGGCCTTCGGCTTTGGCTTCATGATGTTTGAAAAGGTTTCACAGCCTAAATAGCTCGAAGCTCCAAAAATCATACCCGAGGCCCACTGTCTTGAAGCCATTTTGTGGGATTTTGAAGAGGCTCCAGCCAACTAGCAGTACCCTCAGGAAGGGAAGAGGAACATCGGCTTCGATGCATTCCGCTCGAGCAAACCCACTCCTTGCTGCAGACTGCAGTTCCTGCTCAGCCTTCAGCTCAACACCGAGCAGCGAAAGTCCGTTCGGTCGGACAGCTCCAGGAACACCAAAAGCAAGAGCCGGCAATTTCCTCGAGCCCTTTCGTTACGCCTAGACCCGAAAAATTGCAAACCACAAACCACCAAATTCGCCCTAAAGTCCCTGGGAACTCCGCTGCGCCTCCTCGTACAGGCCATAAGGATCGCCGAGGGCCTGTCGAGTCAGAGACCCGGCGAAAGGTGTGATGCCTAAAGTCTACAAGATTGTGGGTTCAGTCTTTAGGGCCGAGGCTTGGGTGTCCTGGGGTTCGAGGCTGGGCTCAGTCCCGATAGCTTCAGGCTCCCTTCGGCTACGATGGAGCATCTGGGGCCAAGGCGATCTTTGCTATCTCGGGGCCGTCGTAGTTGTCCAGGCGGTTGATGTAGTCCATAACGCGGTCCCTGTCGTAAAAGCACCCCTGTTACGGTCAGGGTTAAGACTGCCCAGCAGAGTCGAAGGATTCCAAAATGGCTTTCAGAGCCGGGAGAGTTGAGGGTTTCAGATTCAGAAGAGGCGTGGCGAGTTGGCTTTTGGACCTGGGCCTGGAAAGGCGCTTGGGTCGTGTAGGCCTTAGGTACAGTGTAGTTGTTTTCTGGCTTTGCACTTCGGTTTCCTGGTGTGGTGCAGGTTTCTCGGGCTCAGGACGTGGGGTGCAGGACCAAATGTGAGAAGTGTTTCGCGCGGGATGTTGATGATATGGCCGCCTCCGAAGCGGGTGTCGGCTGGAATCTTTACATTTCATGCGATGGCTGTAGCTTAGGAGATACAACCCGGAAGATAAGAAACCAACAACATGGGGCAGAGAACTCCATGTCGTCATCTACCAGAAAGACAGCCGGGCGTTCTGAAACTGCCCAGACACTCCCAAAACCTGCAAAACCTCGAACCTGAACATCACCTAAAACTGACCCCTCGGCAGCGATGTTAGCCTGATTCAGGACTGGCGGTGTGCAGACTTATTACTCGAATCCTATGTTTACAGGCAGAACAGCCAGAATGCAGACGCATATTTTCTTGAGCCAGTGAACGACGGTAAGTACGGGCGACTAGCTACATCTTCCACAAAATACACCCCCCGCGCATCTTAGTGCAACGGTGGAGGCGAAGGCGATGGAAGGAAAGACTAGTCGCTAGACCGTCGAAGATGTATCACTTTGTGATAACGAAGACAACTCGAAAACAAAAGTAAATTACGCGGCTTTTCTCTCGCGCCCTTGCAGACTGTACGAGCTGGACTGTTACCAACCCGTTAGGGCGGTGCCGAAGCTTAAATCTCACTTCACAACTAACCAGACGGCATCTAAAGATCTCAGAATACCATCCCGTTAGGGAGGTGAACATGCTCGGCACGATGGGCCTCGCTCATGTGACCTCAGTAGATCCGGTCACGACGGTTGGTCCTGTAGTTGTACACCTCGTGCACCCAACCTGAGAGGAACCACTGGACGTGAGATGTATCCAGCATCGTGAAACCATGCGGGTTCCCATGCGTCGGAACGACGTTGATCACCGATGTGAGCTGAATGTAGTCCTCGGTCATTGCCGCGAAGACTGCCCACTGATACGTGTCCACCCTGTGCCATTCCATGCGCCTGGCCAGTGCCGGGTCAATGACGTTGCCGGAGATGTCGTTGCCGAGAACAAAGTTGGCATACAGTAGCCCGGCAACTCTCAGCTGGTCAAAGAAATTGACCACAGTCTCGCGCATCCGGACCTCTCGGTCGGAGACATTCCTTGTCTCGAAGAAAACGCCGAAGGTCGGTGGATCATGAGGCCGACGACGGTAGTTCTCGGACCACTCGCGTCTGGTGCTGAGATCAACAACTGACGATGGAACCTCACTCACCGTATCATCATTGGCAGCTGCGGGAGCATCCGTTTCCGGTGCTGGGTTCTGAAAGCCAGTTCCAGCACGCATGGCGTCCCAGTCTGCATCGCTGATGTAGTCAGATGGGTCGCGATTGACTCGCCTGGGTGGCGGCATGGCCGGCTCTCTCGGAATGCGATCGGTAGAGGAGCCTGCAGCATCTCCTGGATGCGTTCTGATATGCACCTCAGAGGGGCGGTGCCTTGCAATCGGAGAACGTGTTCGATTGCGAACAGAAGGTTCCGTTGCACGCTCGTCAGAGCTGCGACCACGCCTTGATGGAGAGGCAGGCGGTGCCGGAGGGCGACGTTCGGACGCTGGGGCCGAAGTGGTCAAACGAACGTGACCGCTCTCTCCGATTCGCTTGTCCATGTAGTACTGCTGGTACCGCCGATAGTATGGCGTGTTGGCCAAAAGTTCGTTGAGCTGGCGTTTGCCCAGCCCTTGTGCCTCAGCGGGTACCTGCAGATCTCTCTGGGTGCGAAGACTGGGGTGAGCTCGCTCAACCCTCGTCCGGCTTAGAGGCAACTGCGCCTGGAAAAAGGTAGCCAGCTCAGCCATGATTGGCAAGATCTCATTCTGCATGACAATGTACTTCTCTCCGTCGTACTGCAGAATGGAGAACTCATGCTGATTCGACTTCACAGCCTTGATGAGAACCGCAATCTCGTTGATGGTGTAGAATCGATCGTGGAAACAAATCAGACACTCCGTGAGGAGGTCGATCTCAAGCTGGCCTGTCACCCAAAGGAGGGCGATTTTCCCGGTGGCATCATAGTACGTGGAAGATCCATGCCCTTTGCCTTTTCCCTGGGGATCGGGAAGCCTCACGTTAGCGAAGCGTTGCAGCGCCTCGACCGTGTGGAAGCTCAGACCCATCTTGGCGTAGTTGTGGGCAGTAATAGGATCAACGCTGTATTGCCCCTGCGGAGTCGTGTTGTGGAGCTTCTCAGCACGCTTTTGCTGATTGAGGACCTTTTGGCGAATGCCTGATGCTGTGCTCTGAATGCGCTCCCTCTCTTCTGGTCCCTGAATCTTCACCCGCTGGCGATTGAGTCCACCAGATGGTTGCAAGTCGATAATGTCCTGAGTCTGTCGGGCTCGGCGATGATCGCAAGATCGGTCATCTCGATGAGACGACGCTGGCAGCCCGGGCAGGAAATCATGCCCTCGATGTACTTGTGGTTGCACTGGCTGCAGTGGTACCCGGGGAAGAGAACAAGCTCTTGTTTTATCCAGTGCTTTGGCTCAATCCTGGCGCGGAACTTGATCCGCTTTCCTTCCATGGATGGCCATACATGGATGCCAATCCCCAGAGTTCCATCGAAGTTTCCAACGAGCTGGTCGTTGGTTTGTCTTCGTTCGATCACTTCGTCGCCAATCTCCGTAAGGGTGCTAGCAGAGACACGAAAAGGGGTCTTACAGTTGATGGCAACTGGAGCCCACTCAGCGATGGTCAAGTTCTCCGCGCCGTCCAGCAAATCCAAGAAGCAATTGTACTGCTCCATAGCATACTGGTCCGGGCCGAAGATGTACTTGCGGCCGCCATCTTTGTTCCAGCACGTTAGTGCGGAGTCAATGTTGCGACGGAACGCCTGGTATGCGGGATTCACCCACACAGGCTCGGCCGTGCCGCGCTGATAAGCGTAGATCAGGTAGCGATTGCTCACCCAATCGGGCGTCTCCAGTGCCCCGGAGCGAGTCTCGAACAGCCTGAGACCATCCAAAACAGCCATTTGAAGATCGATAGCGAACTCGACGTCCGCCGCCTCACGCAGGCCTGCGTTGTCATCTCTTTCCCATTCTGGGAGCTTCGACATCATGACGAAAGCTCTGCTACCACTCTCGTGGAGCGCGGCACCACCTGGCAACAACCCGTATCTAATGATGTCTGGGAAGTGCCGCATGAAGGTACCGTGATAGCCCAGTTTGCAGGGGAAATCAACGAACTCCTGAGAGTACATGTCGAAAGGATGAATAGCAGGCCGAGTCGTTAGACTGGCGTCCCATGGCACAAAAGAATGCACCACGGAGTGGATGTCGGCAAGCTCGGTCTCGCCGCTGAAAAGTCCCGACCAATGCCCATGGATTGCCCGAGCTCGAAGCACGTCAAATTCTTGATTGTTGTGCTTTTGGATGTAGAGCTCGTAGCGGGCTTTCCCATCGACTGGAGTCTTAAAGACTTCGAAGATCTGGGAGACCCTGAGTCCATTCCAGATCTGGCTGAGAGCATCGATGAACTCTTCCCAGTCCATGGAAAGGTCGTTCCGGCGGATCGTCACCGTCGGTGTGCGGTCCCCATACTCCGGCTTGTTGGTGAAGCCTCTGAGGATGAAAGCACACTTCTTGCCAAGTGCGAAACGCTTGCCTTCGCTGAGATGGCGATGGTCAGATGTAAAGGGTGGCAGATCCAAGCCTGACAACCAAAATTGACCATCCCTTCCGGGAGGTGAAGCTTCTGCCTTTGCACTGGCAGCAGGCTCCGCCTTCGGCGTTGGGGCAGACTTCACAGCGGTAATTGGCATCTTCTTCGGTGGCGGTGGCTGCAACGGCTCAGAGGGCCTGGCTCCGGATGCAGCAGACTTCCCACGGACTTCCTTGGGTGGAAGTGTGCCTGATGCCGACGATGAGGATGCACCCTGCGGCATAGCAGGAGGCACGGCATGAGCCTTAGTGGCCAAGGGCATCATCCCTGTGGCTTTGGGCTCCGCGGCAGCGGGCCGTGACTTCGGAGGTACCGGTGGTTTGATGGCTTCCTCCAATTGCATTTCCCTCATCAAGTTCTGGATGCCGACGGATCCCCTCGCATAAAAGCGAGGCCTCTTGCTGAGTTCCTCTTCGTTGAGCTCTTCAATGCCCTTGAAGATTCTGCTGGAATCAGCATCCTCGTTAGAGGTGCGACCGATCTCCAAGTCCAGACCATAGACTCTAGACGCCGAGAGCGTTTGCCAAGGCGATCTCCTCATCTGTGGCAGCCTCTTCTCCGTGACTGCCAATCTGGAGCTTGGTGATCATGACTGAAGGATCTGAGTTGTCCTCAGTCCGCTGGATCACGTTCTCAGCACCCGGGGTTGTATCCAGGAGGGCTCGATCAGTGTCGGTAAGCTCCTCAGGCTCAGTCGACAGGAGGTCCTGTCGCGCGGCAAGCAGAGGTGCGCTTAGGACAATTTGTTCATCGTCCCCCCGGACGTCTGGCGGCTCCTCCTGCCGCGTGTCGGCACAGACGTGCATGTCCTTCAGCGGTGGGACAGTAATCCGCGCGTCCGGCTTGGCCAGGTGAAAATGTTCAAAGAAGACCACCTCTCGGCGGTTGACGATGAGCTCAGGTCGTAGGTCTGTCACAGCTCTGTCAAAGGCTGTCGCTGTGACCAACGACTTGTACCAGCTCACAACCGCTGCCACGTTGTCGGCCGTGAAGTTGGTGTGGAACTTGTCCGGGCGGTCAGTAGCACCCAAAATAGGATTCGGGTCGACCAGCCTCACACCTGCTTCGGCCAACACTTTCGCGTGGCGAGTCATCTCCT